CAGCGCGAACGAATGGAAAATAATAACAACCGTGACAATAGTTCCAGCAGCTGCTGTTTACGCCTGTTATTTTTTTTAAAACTAAGTGCCTAGTTACCAACGTAGGTTTTTGTTTACGGGTGGGTGCAGACTTTGCGGGTTACCTGAAACACTAGTAGGAACGGAGTGGTTTTTAGTCAATAAGAGTATGACATTCCCTCTCGCCTCACCCACAAGGTCATTTGTTGATTTTTCCTCCTCAAAAAAGGTACCTATTTGTTTAGTTAGGCGAATGAATAACAAGTAACATCAGCTATTTTTATCGCATGGAAAATTATAACATGTTGTAACGTTCCTTGTGAAACTGGGACAGGTTTATTTTCGTCAGAACATCTTCAAAATTAAGTGGAAAGTTTAGAACTACGGAAAACTACTGGAATACCAATGGGAAACTTTCTGAATCGAAAAACGGAGCAGCTAATGGGCGGTCGGATAAGCTTTTGCTTGTGACTGGGATGGGCGAAAAATTACAATTAGGTACATATTAAATTATTAAATGTTTTATTGTTACTTTGATTTAACAAGCATTTTGGACTAAAAAATCTGATAATTCGAGCGAAAATAAAATTAAACTTAAATAGGTAATCTTCATTCCTCAAAGTCATAAGTATATGTAGTGTAACTAGATAACTGACTCGGTTAACTTCGTACCGCCTCAATTTTTAACCGACTTCAAAAAAAGGAGGAGGTTCTCAATTCGACCGTATATATGCTTTTTTTTTTTTATGTTTGTTCGCCGATATCTCCGTTGTTTATGAACCGATTTTGAAAATTCTTTTTTTGTTAGAAAGGAGATAGTTCCAGAATGGTCCCATGATAAGGAAATCAGGATCTGATGATGGAAGACCAGGGAAACCGAGGGGAACTTTTGAAAATTATAGGGGCGACTAGAGCATGAGTTAATTTTTTCATTAAGTATTAAAAACCACTATAATCTGATAAAGGTCTGGAGCCGATCTGATGATGGAGCCGAGAGCCAGTTGAGGTAACTCCTCAACGGTTAACAGTAGCTACCTTGTGTTTGGGCTTGATTAATTTGTATTGATGAGGACTTTACACCTGAGTGGGGTGTAATTGTCATTAAGGGTCTGATGATGAAGTAGTACGATAGTCGAGGGAACTCCTCAACGGTTAACAGTAACTCCCTTGTGTTTGGGCTTGATTAATTTGTATTGATGAGGACTTTACACTTGAGTGGGGTGTAATTGTCAATAAGGGTCTGATGATAAAGTAGTACGATAGTCGAGGGAACTCCTTAACGGTTAACAGTAGCTACCTTGGGACTCTTCAATGGTTGAGAGTACCCACCCGGTGTTTGAACTGGAAGAATTTGTATTGATGAAAACTTTGCATCCATGTGGGTTTTATACAATATAATATATCAAAGTACTAAACTAAAAAGTATAAAATAAAATTAAAAAACTGCGTTTAAGAAAACCGACTTCAAAAACAAACAAAAAGTAAAAACTAAAAAGGAAAAAAAATAACTATTAGTGGTCATACGTACTTATAGCTTACACACCCACTGATAGGTTAGAAGTCGGTGCCACAAACCCACAACAAAATATAAAGTAGACAAAAGTCACAGCTGGTATAATCCATAATAAAATTGTAAACAGCTCAATAATGTTAGGTATCTATTAAGATTTTAATGAATAATTTTGTTTAAAACTTGTGGCACCGACTTCTAACCTATCAGTGGGTGTGTAAGCTATAAGTACGTATGACCACTAATAGTTATTTTTTTTCCTTTTTAGTTTTTACTTTTTTTTGTTTTTTTTTTTATCCGACACAGTAACAGAGAGTCACTCTGTTTAAACCTTCTCTGGACTTCCACAAAACTTGGTTCAGACGTTCTCGAGTTTTAGCGAGACTAACGAACGGAAATTCATTTTTATTTATCAAGGGTGTCCCTTAAGTCCACGATCAAATGGCACCAGGTGGTCGGCAAGGTTCTTACGGTTATCAGAAAAATATAAAAAAAATCCAAATCATATCCCATTTTGAAACCTCATTAAATGCGCCCACTTAAGTGAAATTTGCCACTACTACCGTAGTACACATTTTTTTCAGTACAGTTACTTAAACTAAGGTGAACATTTTATTGAGAAGACTTAGTTCATGAAAAAACGACATTGTTTTCTAAAGCAGTTGGTTCAGAATTTATAATTCCATAATACTGAACCACTTTTCAGGATAACGTAATCAGAAATACAGACGAGAAAATAAAGAATTGTAGCAACAAGAATTAAAAGATTGGCACAGGGTGTACTTTTTCGTGGATAACATATAAAACATAGTACTTAATTTAAAAAATATCTGTATTGAAATTTTTCAATATTTTTCTGGTAACTGTTGGCGCCTTGGCTGGCTCCATTTGATCGTCGACTTCGGAGACACCCTGTATGTATAAATATACAGAAGTTTACATAGTTAATTATAAATACCTACTTCAGACTGAACTTAAATAAACTTGACAAACAAATAACACAAGCCTAACAAACTAGTTCTAATATTATGTCAAATTCTGTTGGGGCTATAACCATTGAACCTCAGATTCCATAGACCTCATTATGACTGAACTATGATATTCAAAGTAAATATGGATGATTCAATGGTTCTTGATATGAGGTCAGTCTTATCTTAATTCTAATTATAACCCCTAAACTCTTATCATGCCCTTTTAGTATACAATGACTTTACAATTTTAGCTAATTAATTATAATTTTGTGCAATACTTTCGGTAAATTTTTTTCTTAATCTATATTTTCTTATTTCAATTTTATATTCATTTTTTTTATTTTATGCTGTATTCAACAGTGAATAGAGTTAGATGAGAGATGTTCTTTATATTTGTTTGATATTTCATACTTCTGGTAAAATTGTATGGAAAAACTTTAGTACTTATAAATAATAAAATAATACCTAAAAATAAATAAAAATAATTACAATACCTAGGTAATTGACTTTTTTGTGACCTATAAGGTCAATAATAGATATACTAAATAAAAACAATTTCTTTAAAAACAAATACCTACTTTCTTTGTGTGGAAGATGATGTTATCGGCTCTGTAAATTCCAACGTCTATCACAAACAATAAACAATGTAACCATAAAATAATAAACACTCTTTTAACTTTTAAGAGATAAAGTTCAAGACCTCTTTCCTGACAAAACAATACTTTGACTATGACGAGCCACTGACATGTAGCATCTTCTGACCGTGGATATTTTTATTGGTCATTTCTCCAATAGGTCAACAAACATTTATACATCAGGCATCAAAACATTTATTTAAAAGATAGAAGCAAATAACAACAAAGATAGTAAACTGCTCTATTTATTTTGAGACATTGCCCTTAATAAGTGGATGTAATTGTTATCCACATCGGGTAAAACAGGGGTAACAAGAGTAGAGAGGTGAATAGAGGCAAAAGCAGAAGTTCTTCATAATATCTATTTACCCCTCTTCTGTCTCTATTCATGTATCTAAGGATACCCTGTTTTACTATAGAGTACTAGATGTATTTACTTTTAAATACTGTTATAGAGAAATATTGTGAATTACTATTAAACTAGTATTTTTTTTTATTATTAGAGCAATTAATAGAGCAGGGTGCTTTAGATGAATGTGATATTATTCACATGCATACTTATTATCTTTGGAAAGTCTAAGTGTGAGAAATACTTATAGGTACAAAAAAACAGAATATCTTCTCAATTACATCAGTAATGATGTAAGAATGTTTGTAAAACTGATCCTACCTTTGGTGCCAAACAAGTACCTCAGACATGTTTTTATAAAAAAAATTGAATGAATATAAAACTACATAAGTAATGCAGAAATAATATAATTATAATAAACTTTCTAAACAACACTCGACCATTGTTATAACTTATGGGAAAAAATATAATAATTTATAAAATGTTTAATATGATATAAAACCTAATCATTGTAAAATAATGGAAAAGTGTACAATTACGGCGGCAAAATTTTATTCCGTGGTAATATTAAATCATGTAGAACAATTAGTTAATAGGTAGGTATTAGTGACCCTATCTATTGACGAGTGTATGCATGTGCGAATGTGGGCGTATCAAGGGTTGTCTGCTAGGTTTGTATGTATAGATGTTTACCCTTTAAATCACGTGAAATTGAGAATTAAATAAACATTTTAATAATATAAACGTATAATATTTATCATTTTCATAAGCAGAATAGAGCATTAAATACAAATATTGGCTGAATTAATCAACTTACCCAAAAATTATGTCCCAAAGTCTACAACTATAATATATAGGACACTGCCCTTGTTTGCAGACCTCATTCTTATATATTTTTTCATGAAAAACTATATTAATTTTCGAAGAAAATTTTAAAAACAAAGCGATAATTCAACCAACAAAGAAAATGACATTGCATTGTTGACGTTGACACATAAACATGACATAAAAATATTCATGACATCACGTTTTGTTACTGCTAACACAGAAATACGATTCAAAAATTAAAAATATTAATAAAATAGTAATCATTTATTAATTTGTATAAACGCATTAATAAACATCAATATTACAGTATAAAATAACAATATTTGAGGTAGTTCAATTAAGGCAACAACCTTATCAAACAGTTTAACTTAAACATTATAAAGTTAACAAAAAAACATTAGATCTATGTACTGATATTTTTGAACGCCAGAGCAAAAACACATGAACCTGCCCTCAACGCCAAGCCACAAATTCCGCGCAAATTTCTACGGAAGAAATAGGGATTCCAATAGGGAATCAAATTGTTGATTTCGTGTTTCCGGTTCCGCTTTTTCTGTCATGTATTTGTGTCGTTGGCGTCCAGGGACAGTTTTCACTTGTCACTTATATGTGACATCGGCGCTCAAAAGGTTAATAATAATGAGTTTAACATCAAATAAGATTAAATCTGAGTACAACTCCATAAAAGTCTATGTCAAGGGTCTTTTTAAAGCTTTTCTCTCTTTATTTAATTTATAAGCAGCAGACATCTTTTGGCAGTTATCCTTATGCACTTTATCATGATCAACTATTCTTTTAGGGTAATCCTGCCCAATTATGCAACCAGCTGCCATTTGAACACTTTTTGGTGCTTTCCAAGGCTCATAGATGAAAGCAGTGGGATATTTTTTTAATTCAGGGACATACTTCCTTATGTAAATTCCTTCTTTATCTGTTTTCTTGCCAAAAGCTACTGGACTGTAAACTCTGAAGAATTTATAAAAGAAGGCAGAAGCTGAGAGCCACATCCAATTACCTGCATTTAATGACCAATCATAGTCTAGTAAGTAGTCTTCAAATACTTTGGCTCCTTCTTCCCAAGAAATCCATAAATCTCCTCTTGTAAGGAAACAAGCAACCATGTGGCGAGCCAAATGATCTATCCATCCTTCTTGTTTGAGTTGACGCATTATGGCATCAACAAAAGGGTATCCTGTTTTGCCTTCTGCCCATGCTTTCAAGTGCTCCTCATTTGTACCCCAAGGAATTTGGGTACATACTGCATTTCCAACCATCTTGTCAAAATTTTCAGTACCAGCTCCAGCGGTGTAGTAGAATTCTCTCCACATTAATTGCCCCATTAGGGACACAGGGGGTTCTGTGTGACGCATACCGCTTAATGCTTCCTTTAGTTTGTGGTAAAACAGTTTGGATGATAAACATCCATGACTGATGTAAGGACTCAATACTGTGGTACTTGGCTCTAAACTGTTTGGGGATGAATTTGGCTTTTCAAACTTGCACACCCATTGTTTTCGAGCCATATACATATTCAATCTTTTTAAGCCTTCTGTTTCACCTCCTGGATATTTCAATGGTTCCAAAGCTGATTCATCAATATCAAGTTCATCAAAACTTGGAACATCATACTTTTTAGAATCAGAATCTTTTGGGTTACAGTGCTCAGATATTGGTTTAGTTATTTCAATACAATCCTTTACTTGCATATCCTGCACTAATGAGAGGAACTTTTGATACGTCATGGGGACATTACCATTGTTCTTTTTCAATACACTGTGAACATCATAGACAGTGTGTTGGACTCTACGGACCACAAATATATCATTCTTTTCAGCAAACTTATCAAGTTCCTCATCTTGTTTCACATAGATTGGATCAATATCAACTTGGCAAGTCAAGTATTTAACTTGCCATTTGTTAAGTAACTTAAATAACTCTTCCACAGCATGTCCTCTGATAACATATAAGCGAGAATTCAATTTCTTCAAGTTATTGTCAAGATCTTGAAGGCTCTGTACCAAAAATCTTAATCTTTTAATTCCTATCTTACTTTTAATTTCAGGATCCAAGAAGTATACTGGTCTTAAAAGGTGTTTACGGTTTTCAGCCTAAAAAAAGAAAATTGATAGATATAAAAAAATATAACTTATACCTACCTACATTATAAGGAGTTCGTCATTGAAGTGAATTAAAAGGGTTTAAAAGGGTTATGTAGCAACTAGCAAAATGATAAAACAATGAACTAAAGTAAAAAAATAACAAATCGAAATAGGTAGTTGATTCAAAAAGTAAAACGCCAGCAGCTCATCATGACTGATTATTTGAATAACTTACTTCGTTTATTGCATTACGTAGCGCAAGATTATCATGAATTCGTAAATCTAATCTAAACCAATGAATAACAGACGGTACTTTAGTCATTATAGATAACCTTTTTTGAATACTTGATAAAAATGCGCTCAAAACTTGAAAAGCGGAGCAAGTCTACGAGAGAAACTGACAGTTGACAGTGACACTTGACACACACGAACGAAGCCTTGATGATATATCATATTTTCTGTTTTTTTCGCACCATGATTTGATTACAATTTTTTAGAAAACAAGAATTTATTTTAAAAATCAAGGCAAAGGTTAAATAGTCTTATTTGATACCAATATAAAAAGTCGTTATTTCATGACATGATATTTCTGAACGAATACGGATTTGGAGATGACAGATGACAGTAACTTATATTTGATACAGTTGTCATGGTTACATATTTAGCGTTAGGGGATTGGTGTTCATTTTGAGCTTTTTCAACATGATATGATTTCATTGGTTGTAATAGAAATTATTTAGAGTTTAGACCTATCAAAAAGATTTACTGTCTATTTGATTGTCGCGATTTCGTTCAATTTGTTTACATAAATGTAAACATTAGATTTAGTTAGTTTGGATAGTAGTTACAGCTGAGAAATTCGTTCATTATGACAGTATTTGGGCTAAAATTAAATGTTTAATCATGAGTGTGTAGTGGAAGCTAGATAATCGGCAATGTGATGCTGCAACATGCCAAAAATTATCGAGTTAACAGTGGAAATAGATGTACAGAGGGTAAGTTTCTTATTTGCTTATAATAGAGTGATCTGTAGCTCTTTTTTATACCTTTCTCTAATTTTTATTTTAATTCATATATTACTAAGTTACCTATATATAAGGAACTATATTAAATACCTACATAATTATTAGACTATGACCTTGACCCCACAAAAGTTTGTTTCATGAGTTTTGTAGTAAAGTCCGAATGTTCTAATTATTAAACAAAACTATACTTATATCCAAGAAACTTGTAAACAGTACTTGGCTCACAAAGCTGTTTCGTATTTAGTTTGAGTCTGATACAACAAATCAACTTAAGTAGAAGATAGGCATCATTTTTGAAAAGTACTAAGGAGATATTTTTGTCTGATATTTCCCTTCAAAAAGTGTAAACGCCAAATAATTAAATGCTTCTTTGCATTTTTCCTCACCAGGTATCATGTCCGGGAGTGTGGTTATGCCAAGATGGACGAGTCTCCCTCACAGTGTTTGCGCTGGGAACCAGCTACCAGACCTGTCTACTGCCTCCCATCTTCCCACTCATGTTCAAAGACATCTTCTACTTCCGCAAAAGATTTCAAGAATCATGCGCATTGAATAACATTTGCTGTTTGTTAAGTAAGTACTTATAGGTATATTAATACTTATTTTTGAGATAACAATCTGACTTGTATTGAGGCTCTCACGGAATATAGTATTCTGTATTCCGTGGAGGCTCTAGACCAGGGATGGCCAACTTGTTTAGACCCAAGATCGATTTTTCCCTGACAACACCTAGTACAATCTACCAATCACATTACTACTGGAAATCTTAAATGAAACAGCATAATTATAGTCAGAATTTTAATTCGATTCCAGATTTGACATTAGCTACTGTCATTTTGTGAAATAACCACATATAATAGTTTCGTGATGAACACAAAAATCGATAAATAATCAGTGTGTGTGTTTTATAATAAATGTTACAGAAAGTGACAGGATAGCGATAGTGATGACATAGTATAAAGAACAAAGTAGGTTATCTTCATACAAATGCTCCGCGCGCGGCTTATATGTGTGCGCCATAGTATCTATGCGTCGACGCACGCACACTATAACAATATCTCGACCCGTTTCTCAGTGCGCCAGGCAGGGCTGACACTGTACGAGGATTGCGCGCGCTTCACGGCTTTTCGGCACTGTTCAATGAAACAAAAAATGTCTGATAATCGTAGAAGAACGTATTGCTGTGTGTTTGGGTGTCTTAATAATTAATCGATTCCAGAACTGTCTCTGTTCAGATTAGGTACCTATTGAACAGGAAAGGTAAGCTAGTCACTTTTTCTAGCATAATATAATTTGTAGGTACTTGATGATGAGATACCTACTTACTTATTCTTACTCTTATCATTCTTCATAGTTCCTACTCAACCAGAAATGTAATTACCTACTATACTTAAATATTATAAGAAAATGTGGTATTGTATTGTTTATTTCACAGTTTATCTGATTTGTTAAGAGCGTAGCCGAGTCGCATTTTTCCATATAAATGTATTCCCAAATTTACTTTCTGAATACTATGTATAGAGCTAAAGTTTATTTTAAGAAGTTAATAATCTTTTTATAAGCTTTTAATTTTTACTAAATTTATAAATTGATAAAATATTCAATCATAATATGCTTTTCATTTCATAAATTTAGATCAAGTGCTGCTTGTTCGAAAATATTAACTAAAAGTAAAAGTGACAACCCTGGGGATCAACGCAAGAGTAGGCTAATAACTCGGCGGGCGGCCTTAGATAACCTACTGTGTTCTTTATACTATGGTGATGACGGCGACAATTTATAAAATATAGATAGTCTAATTGCAGTTCTATTGCAGTCATGACCAAACAAGCAGTCCGATTGCTGTTCAGTTGCAGTTGTGTCAACTGCATTCAGACTGCATCCAAACTACAATTTGCAGTTGAAATGCTGTTTATCTGTTTTGAGCTTAAACTGTCAAATACCAAGCGGTCACCGGTGACCGCGACCTATTGTTCTTTAATTGTGTCTATAAAACCGGTACTCGAAGAATTAAGTTGGCTTTCTGTTAAAAATAGAGGATAATATATATATTATTAATAACTTATTATGTTTGCTAAGCTTTTATTTGTATGGTTTTTTATCAATAATGGTCATCATAGTTTGAACAACCGATACACTGATTACACAAAATAAATATTGGCTAGCAATATTCTATTTTATCACTAAATTAAATATTTTAACAAAAATACTGCAATCAGTTCTTTGATTAATATAAATACATATTAGATATGACATCATCTGTACCTACTTACATTATAGACACACCCTTGGACTGTATTTTTATTTGAATTTCATTAGATACATTTATATTCTCATTTTCTACCACACCTTAAAATATTGTATAACTGGGACTGAGTCTAGTAGATAGGAGGAAATCAAAAGGGACATACCTAATAGGGTAGATGCCTAATTTTTATTTTAATGTCCGTCTGGTATATTATTTTAAATCATTAGACATGTATTTTTTATTTTCTTACAGAAACGAATACTTTCGACGATATATTGATTTGAAATGTCGCGTGACGTCACTTCTATGTATATTTTATACATAGAAATGACGTTTTAGCCCGCACTCCTAAACTTTGATTCATTTTATCTAAGTATTGTTTTATTATACGACAAAATAAAAAAATACGTGTACAAATGTTTTCATTACCTAACTTACGGACTAAGTAATTAGATTTTTAATTTTCATACCCTGTCATCATCCCAATTACTATCATATTAAAATTACAAATGTGAAAGTCTCTTTGTTTGGATGTCTGGAAGTTTATCCGTCAATCACGCTGAAACTACTGAACGTATTTTGATGAAAATTGTAATATCTACAAGCAGTGTATTGGCTGTAAGTCAGCCAATACTTCTACATTTATAGAATATTTTTACCCCGATTAAATGCTACCATGGTATAAAACAGGAATCATGTTCTACGCGGACGAAGTCGCGGGCTACAGCTAGTATTACATATACCATACTTATTCTATTTTTATGAATGTTTCAGAGGAAGAAACAATATACTGTGAGCTGGTGCAATGGTGTGATGACTGTGCTTCTAGTGAGTGTGTGATCCTGGCTCAGTACCTGGGAGCTTTGAACGATGTGCTCTTCCCGCCCAACATGTGCTCCAACGATGGAGTGGATCTACTCATGAGGAGGGCTAAGGACTTCCCTGTAATATATATTTTCCTTAATACTTTATCTGTCCTTCATCTCGTTTTATACTAAACCGTTTTATAGCTGAAGGAATCATTTAAAAAATAAATATTCTTTTTTATTTTATATTTTTGCATTATGTATTAGAAATCATTTAATTATTTTGCCTATACAACTTAAGCATATTATAATATGGCTGGCATGTCATTCATTTCCATTAAAAAATAATTAATTACATATTGATTTTAGAGGTATATGTATTGATTTGCTTCTTACACTGTGGCGTCGCCCCGGAAGACTTAACGGGTGGTTTTTAGTTAGTAAGAATAAGAAAAGCCATTAATTTTCCTCCCTTAAAAAAACACTGTGGCGTAACTACATGGTGGCAAAATGGTAAATTCCCACGGGCCCCCAGCCGTTACGGGCCCCGCCCAAAAGGTCGTACCTGAACATCTATATAGTTATCAAGCGATTTTAATAGGCAAAAGGGGTCCATTCGATGAATTTGCCACGGGTCTCGAACAGTATAACAGTTACGCCACTGTTCTTACAGTCAAGAATAGACGGATTAACAAATTCAAAATAGAGATACAACACATATTTTTCAGGGTATACTATCTCCTAAAATCGAGATAGCAACAAAAGTGCGTATAGATGAGGTTTGGAACCAAACTCACCCCGTGCCTTCGACGCTGAAAGTTGCCTGTCATTGCTCGCCTCGCGACGAGGCTTCCCGACAGAGGCAGGTTTGCCATTCTGCCCGGTACCATAGGTGAGTTGATACGACATTATTGCCCTCGTACTAAATTACTAGACATTGACATAGGTAATTATTTTCTCTTATCGTTTTAAATGAAAAATACAGTAGATAGGTATATAATATGTACCTATCTACTGTATTTTCCGTCGAGTCATAGACGTGCCTTACCTATATAGGTATGTGTCAGCATCGGATACCTATATTACCTACCTAAGACGATCTAAATATCACATAATGTACACACTTAGTTATTTTTTTTTTCTGGTAACAAACTCGTAAGAAAAATACCTTAAACAATTTGTAGCAGTGACCTAATGACTGGAGTCCAACCAAGGTGTCTTAAGTACTAACGCAAAAATAGACTTTTAAATTTATCTAAAACTTACAGGAACAAATGTTTGAAACACGCGAGGGGGCCATCAGGACCAAGGTCAGGATCACGGTCTGGGTCCTCGGGCTCGAAGTCCTGTTGCAGCCTGACGCAGAACGATGCAGAGTATATCAATTGTGACTGTCCTATGTAGGTAACACAGACCTTCACTATAAAAAAAATTAAAGGACTACTAATAAAGGTGAAGGGAGACTTCTTAAAGCATAGTCTTTACTAGAAATATACCTACATATTTTTCCAAAGGAATAGGAAAATAGGATGGAGGAAATACAACATGAAATGAATAACTCATCCTAGTCACATGATACCAAAATTATATTCCATCTGTCATTTGAGGAAAAAATAGACTTTGCCTATTAATTTGAGATTGTTTACATTACTTTGCTTTATATGAGTGTGAATAGTAGGTAGTTAGGTATAGGTACCTACAGCCAGTCAACAATTGGTAAGTTTCTGAGAAAATAAATAAACTCCATACAAAGACAAATCATTTCAAAGTTAAATGAAAAAACATTGCCAATGGCGTAGCTTACCCTATAGTAATTAGACTTTGTCGAACTCCATAATGATATGTTTCAAAACAAACATAAAAACATAACATCACGCCTTTTTATCCTCGAAGGGGTAGGCAGAGGTGCACATTACGGCACTTAATGCCACTGTACAATGTAACACCCACTTTTCACTATTTATGTTATGAGTCCCATGTAATAGGGGGTGAGCCTATTGCCATATACCAGGCACATTTCTAGACTCCGTGCTACTACTGAGATTTTTAAAAACCCAGTAATACTTGGCCGACCCGGGAATCAAACCCGAGACCCCTTGCCCGGCAGTCGCACTTGCGACCACTCGGCCAACGAGGCAGTGATATGTTTCATATAGCTAATAATACGACGTATAATGGTATCTACACCCTACTAAAAACCCTTCATACATTTATAGTCCAATACCGAAAACTGGTATGATGACCTGCCCACATAAGAACTCGCAACGTCGCAGCCGTTCGCCTTTCCGCGAGTATTGTGTCTACAATGTACAAAATACAGATACATGGATAAACAAACCGTTCATCGGTAGTAATGATACCGATTCTTATGATGATCATACGATAAGGTGAAGGCTTGATAAGTTAGGTACTTGTAGGTAGTAATTTTGGTTAATAGTACTTAGATCAAATAGAGTGTAGTCAGTAGTTAATGCAGTTGTTTATGTGTAACTAGTAGGCTTGGTCTAGTCGTTTGTTATCGATTTTTATGCTTAACAGTACCTACCTATAGTTTGATTTTGTGATTTATTTTTAAAATTGTTAGGTATTTAATAATTTTAGAATTATTGTACTAGATGACTATATTTGTTTACTTATTATATTTTATTAGATCATCTCAAATTTAAGTAAAGTAACAGTAGAATAGTTACAAATAGATTTGTATAAGTACAGTTTCCTAATAGTCCCTGTAGAAAAAATTAAAAAAAAAAACACAATAAGTAGAAGTAAAACTTAAGTTAGCTCCTATTTTGCTTTGTTACTTGTACGTCATTTAACCATACTAAAATGTTACTCATGATTTCCTTTAATCTAGTCTCTTCATTATGATTTTCCAGATCAATGGGCAGCACTGAGAAGCCGTACTCCAACCGTCAGAAAGAGGAAAAACACACAAAAACTATCCTAGAAAGCAGATACATCGACCATGATAGATACACAAACGCCAGCACACAGGACTATGCGACAAAACATTTTAAAACTAAAATAACCCCTTGTGTATGTGAAATCTGTAAACGATACCATGAACTATTCCATACAAACAAAGGATAAAACATTTGACAGGTCAATAAGGACCAATTTGCAATAACTACCTCATTGAAAATGACTGCGTGACAGGATGTAGGTAAGTAATACAGTTTGTGATTAATGAGCAAAGGAAATTGTACTTTAATGTTATCATCAAATGTTATACATTGTTATATTTTTCTTCATAAGTTTTTAGAAACCAATTGTTGTAACTAATCATGCATGCTTAACTGTTTTTTAAAAGTTCGATATTCTAACAAAAATTGTATAGACAAAATCTTGTATAGTGTAAGTTTTGTTAAAAAAATATTGTTTTCAAATTAATTATTTATCTTATTTATAAACTAAAATATTATAATTTAAATTTATTATTCTATAAATCAATTGTTATACTTTTTTCTTATACAAGTTGAAGAAATAGAGGATCATGAAATAAAACAAATAAAATCATTAAATTACTATTCTTTTATTATTATTATTTAGTATTATATGTAGTATGTATAGTTTGACGCTAAGGTAACTTAAAAATAATAATTAAAATTAAGTGATATGGCTTCACTTTAAAACTAATTTGACAAAAAGGACTTATGAAAGGCCTCAATGAACAAAATGTTTATAATCACTTAAAATAATCAATCAAATAAAATATTATCTACATTTCCACGCTCAATTTCCATATGAACACAAAATCGTTTTTTTAATGAACCGGGGTAACATGCATCAGTGGGTTTGACTTTGTTTAATTAAACATTTTTTTAAATTTGTCCACGGAAAATTGAACCTTATTGATGAAAACATTGGACGGTTATTTACCGCATCAGACTGCAATATTATCATACTAAACTGCACCATTTATTTAAAGTATTAACTTAAAAACTAATCTTAATATGAATTGAATTATTTGTTTATTATGCATTTATTATTCTACCATATTTATGTACAAGGCACGCAATTATCTTCCAAACATGCAGCAACATTGCCATATTGGAAAAATAACTAGTTAAATAGGTGTTGCCAGATTCTGCTTATTATACTTTTCTACTAATAAGAGGTAGAGAAGAGAAAGCTTTAAAGAAATGGATCTCTTTATAGATAACCTTATTTCTTTAACTCGTCGAGTACCGGTTTTATAGACACAATTAAAGAACAATAGGTCGCGGTCACCGGTGACCGCTTGGTGTTTGACAGTTTAATGAAATACAGTATAAACGTAAATGGGGTGAATAGAAATAGGTACTCAGTGTAGAGTATAGTAGCTCATTCTGATACAACCGATTCTAAATTATTTATTTTATGGATTATTAATATATTCAGGATTTCGCAATGGTTTTTTTATACTGGATAGGTTGACTTTTGGCTACCATCTTGCCTGGTTATTAATCCTTATTCAGTTCCTTAGGTCCTATTCGCCCCACTAGAAAATAGTACTAAAGATTATAGTTGTAGGTATCAGGATAATCAATATCTTATAATAGTACATACATCTATATGGACGGAAGACCTGTAGTCAGCCTTTTGCTTCAACCCTTAAAGTTGAATATACCTAATTACATAATTTTATTATGACAATTCATACTTTTGTACATTGTTCGACTTTTATATTCCTTATTCATACAAACCATTCAATTTAATCGCCCTTAGATTGAGCAACATCCCCAAAACTTAAAAGTAATATTTTATAATGGATATTTCTAGTACCACTAAAATTGATTCCAGTTTTTTTACAAATAGGTATTTATGATCTCCTTTTTAAACTATGCTAGTCTCATATATTTGTCTCATGTTGCTATGAAACAATACCACCCAAATATACTACCCCATTCCCTACCTAAACATGGAATCTGTGTCCATTGTTGCCACACAAGAAAAACATGGAGCTCTACATGATGAACAGCGCCATCTCTTTTTCGCATCCCAACAACAGTTTCTCCAAAATCTCTTTCAAAAGTCTCGTAATCATTTTGTTGTTTATCAAGGAGTATTTGCACTGACTTTGTGTCCTTTTCTGGAAATTCGGTCTTTTCTCTTAGTGTATTTAGTACAATCGGCAACAAATGCTATTAGAGCTACAAAGGCGAATACTCCATAGAATATTGCTAGGGAAATGAGGAAAGTGTCATCAGTCCATTCCCAGAGATGATTAGAACGAAGATACTCGTAGTTGGAAAGTACTTGAGTACCGTTCGGAGGAGGGCACGGTGATTGTACTATTATGTCCTTGTACGGTCCCTGGAAACAGAAAAGAGTTTTTAAAGGTGGTCATTCACACACATTCATCGATCCTTTATGTCATTTTTGGAAAAGCTCTCAAAGTTGCATCACATGGACATTATGTCGTCACAAGAGAAACTAACGAGAATAAATAATATTAAAACTTGCTGAAAATTTATAGTGGCTGCAAATAACTACGAACGAATCAGAATAATTATTATAAGCCCTAGATAAAAGTAAAATAGAGCGACAAATTCTCACCTGTTTATTGTTACACCTATTACTAATACTGCTCCTCAGCGCCACTTCACTGAGCTCTCTTTCCAATAGTTCCGGTAGAGTCCACCTAGAGGGCGACACGATCTGAAGCCACGTGACGTAATCCGGCAGATCTCTACTGTGTATCATCACGCCATTGACAAGGGTGCTTAGCAATAGGCAGAACCCTGCTATGACTGCGGCAGTCTTCTCCATTGGCACAAGGAATATTGTCGCTCGACACAACATTTGTATACTTATCAGATAAAGCAGCATGTAACCTGGAATTTGATAAATTGGACTAATTAGTATTATATAGAAGACGAGAAGTTTCGATTAAGTATTGTTTAAAAACCATCCACAATAAAGAAACACATTTATCTCCAGTCTCAAATGAGAACAACATAACACCCATTACCCAAGTTTTGCTTGAAATAATTATATGTAGAAGAAACTTGCCTAAGTATAAATAAAATCCGTCGAAGGAGGCGGGAGACTGAGCGTACAGCCCACTCATAGCGTAGCTCGGCACTAAGTACGCTAGCCACGTCAAACCTGCCGACCATAACTCCAAAAATTGCTGAAAAAATAAGTAAAAAATATAATACAATATAGTATCTATACAGATAAAAGTTATACATATAAAGTTACTCTACTTCTCGTTCAATTTTCGGTCCGAGGAAATACACTCTCTCTTTCTCTAGTGCAAATGAGTATTAAACTTTCTATTCTTTTCGTCTTAACTGATTAAGAAGAACTTACATCAAAAAGTATGAACACAGTTCTAGAGTACAGTCCCACGGCGATGTCTCTCTCCACATGATGTCGCATTGAGCTGGCTTCTCTCGCACTCAGCCACAACAGGATTGGCCAAACGGTGAGGCACATTACTGTATAATGGAAGCCTACTCGGTCGTTCTGTGTAAGCTGCGAAGAAAGATTAGATTGAGGTTAATGAACTATTTAAAAAAAATCTTAAATTAGTGAGTTTAGAAGTTTCTGTCATTGCGGACATAAGCCTCTCTAAAAAGAAGTATTGAGGTTAGATATTGAAAGATCCAGAACTCTCCAAGACTTTACTAACTTTAGTTAAATGGCAGAATATAAATTAAGATACCTTCGGATCTGTAACAGGAAGATCCCAGAACACGGCACCGGTAATCAAAGACATTATGGCGGCCAAGAGTATCCGAGTTATCACGTTCGATAATGTTGTAGATTGAGTGAATAGGAGACTTTTCCTGAAACGTGAAAACAACGTAGATTTAGAATTGTGCTTTATAAAGTTGTTTGACCAATAAAGATCTTCAGAGCAGTTTTATTATTATAAAAGTTCTAAAAACAAACTCACTCTATAAGGGCTCCAGCCTGTACAAGCACATTAGGTCGGGTAAGCGGTGCGGGTAGTGGCACGGGCGGCGGTGGGTCAGGCGGCGCTTGCGCACCAGCGAACACATTGGCAAGTGCAGAGATACGACCCGATGATTCCAACATGGCCGCCGCTGACAAGTCGTCCAGTGTCACCAGATCCACTAAAAGGATAAACATTTTTAGAATCCATTTTGAGAACACTTAACTACAGTGTTCCAAGTCTAGAATATAATTAATGGTTCAAAAAACTGAAATGACTTACAATAATAATCTGAAGGGTTCTTGAAAGCTGGGCAGGGATAATCGATGGAAGCAAAATATGGCAACATATCCCTTCTGTACCCGCTGAACATCGTTCTACCAGCTGAGATTAAGACCACCTTTACAAAAAATGGGAACAAATTAAAAAACCGCTCAGAATCTTTAAAAAAAAACAGAAAAAGAGAGGTAGGGTTGCAATTTACCTTAGTAAGCATAGCGAAAATCTCATAAGTTGGTGGATGCAGTGACATGATGACAACTCTACCAGTACTGGCCCAGTTTCTCAAGTATTCCACCAGGAAGAACGTGTCGAAGATGTCCATCTCTTTAGTGGGTTGGTCTAAGATTAGTATGGCCATGTCTAGAAGTAGCTGGCACGCAACGTTGAGGCGACGGATCTCTGATCGAGTGAGGCGACCTACGTTCGTGTCCCGGACTTGTTCTAACCCCAGTTCTTCTATCAGAAGATTTATCTGGAATCATTTAAAAGTGATAACAAAAGAAGTGAAATGTTTTGTAGCCTATTAAAGTATTTGGACGACTGTTTCAGGACAGCTTAAACAAATTGAACACGTTTCACCTTTTGAGCTTATTCCAAGAACATTCTGGAAACAGTATAATGTCAATTTTCTGGATAAGTCTGAATAGGAAAGCAGAAAAAATATTGTGGTGTTACATACCCTGTCTCTATCGTCCATTTTAACTTGCCCATTATTTCTTGGTCTTCTCAAAGCGGCGTGGAACTTCAAGGTATGTTCAACTGTCATGGAAGCACATAGGGAAGTGTCTTTACGAACGTATGCTGCAACCTTTCGAAGAGTTGAGGAAGCAACTGGTTGACCATTGAGGACTATGTCGCCTGTTAGTTTCTGGAGAAAAAGAGCACGTAAATGGAACATACTTATCTAAGCATTCACATGTCGTGACAGATGTTGCAAATTTTTCTAATCCTCTTTAATAGTCTACTTTGCCATATCCATAAGTGTGACGATACCAAGATCATATTCATACCTTCCGTACACCGGCTAAAACATCGAGTAGTCCAGTGGCCTCATGATGAGATGTTGCTAGAACCGCTAATATTTCTCCAGACTTTACTTCGAAACTCAGACCAGACACCAGTAGAGTTGACTTGTTTTCCGGTGCTGTTATTTCTAAACTGTTTACCTGTAAACCGAATAATCTAATTAACAACATTTTAGAAAAAAAGTTGAAGAAATTTGCTTTAATAAGTATATATTGGTTTGACTACAAAACGTCATTACTTTCGCGTTAATCTTTTCTTTTGCATACGGCAGAGAATGCTTTTAGTAATGCCAGGCATCCAATCAGCAATCCATCATTTTACGGTAGACTTGGAACTTTCATCATTTATTCAGCTAAAAAGAAACATTTCACCAAGTCTATCACAATCAAACTTAGTTACAAAATTCAATACTCACATAATAATTAGGGTAAATGTACGCAGAGTGGGTGTATCCGTCCAGATGGTCGCCTGGTCTCAGTGTGGAGTGTTTTCTGGATTGAGCTATAGACATATGACTGCCAGCCTTCGACATCCGACCGCCCAAGTGGGAAGGTGACATTAGGTAGCTGGAATAAAGAAGATTCATTACAAGCATCAGTCGGAGAACACGTAGTGTTAGAATAGCCAAACAATAACTAAGGTCACATTTTAAAACAAGTTTTCTGTAACTTCGTCTTGTCTAAACACAAACGTTTGGGGACATTTATGCAGGTCATGCAAATATCATTTCCACATAAATATTCAACCTACATTTTATAGCGTTATACCAAAATGTGACGTATACAAATGAATGTAGGATCGTTTTTCTTTACCTTTGGTGGTCTCCATCAGGGACGTAGTCGGCTACACTGTTTCTTCTATTGCTATAGTGGGATCGATGTTGGGGTCGTGCATCAATGCCTAGTAGATTGGCTTCACTGACTGACTTGTGTCTGGAGTTCGTCCATTGACCGTCTCCACGGATACCAGCCTGCTGCATAGCTACCACTGGAACTCCTGTATTCGGCTGGAAGAAAGATAAAAGAAAATTGAGTTCCGTCCTTCATGGTTCCGTGACTTTATGCAATCGTGTGTAGGTATTGAAATGGACAAATCCTTTGGTACTTTTTACTCGGTTTTTTTATCAGTTATAGGACATGAAGTGGTAACGTATAGTTTCTATTCTGTCTAGACCATTAACAGCTATTTTGATCACTTCACAAATGGTGAAAGTATCAATGAATACGAACAGAAGCTGCCATTAAATCGTCGAATGAATCATCAATAAATAAATGCAGGGTAAATGAACCTTGTCACCCAGACTGCGGGTTTAACCAAAATAGTTGAATCATCAACTTGTTGTATTAAAAAGAGAAAGTGCGAACCTGTAAAGATGGGTGTACGTTCTGCATCCTAAAGTCGGGGTCCGATCGGTATTTGCGACTGTATTTGTAGTTAGTGGTAGTCTCGTTGTCTGAACTGTCGTAACCTGATGATGTCTCGCGCATGCCTCGACTCTGTCTTTGGATCCTGTGAAACAAGTGTTGCACTTTTTTACCAGAAATATTACTTAACGCGTTAAAAATTCTTTAATAGAACAATAAACGGGCTTGACTCCTGTCTGTCCAGTGTCCATATTACATGGGCTTCATAACGCTATTTAGCCATAGATGGAAAGAGAGACAAAAGGAACATGATGAGGATAAGATTTTTTTTATTACTTACCTAGGCACAGGCTTCATGCCACTCCCGATCGAAGTCTTAGGTTTCGGAGTCCCTGAGCGCTGCGACCCGTTGTGGTTCGGCGGAAATACCCGAGGAAGCCCGAACTTCAGGTACGTATACATATTGGAGCCGAGTGCCGATCTGGTGACAAAGTATAAAGATTCTGTAGGACAAGGTAAGGCAAACACCGTGACATAAATTTCATTAACAGCGAGGCCGATATTGCAATGAAACGACTACTATATGTATGTTACAATCATTTTTTACGAGCCACCGATTTAATGGAAATTTTAATAGCAAAACAATACTGATTGTATGTTCTACAATAGTTAAAAATATCACGAAATGCCGCAATAATATTTGCTGTGTAAATTATGTCATGCGGGTTGTGTAGACATTAATAGCGTCTTAATAATAATTAGTGTGTCTACTGAATCGACAATATGTAGTTGTTAGCGAAATAAAACATTGAAACCTGAATCCAAGGTATTACGTACAATATTTTGCAACAATGACATGGATGGCAGTTCCAAACATTTCAGAAAGGGGATTCCAAATACGTAAAAGGAAACCTAAGAGAAATCAGCAATATTTAAGTGAAAAATAATAATAAAATGTACTTACTTGGGTCCATATCGTGGGTGTGACAGTATGGACTGCACAGTGGTGTCCCTAAGCTGGAAGTTCCCGTATGGCAGGGGGCTCTTGTCTGTGCTGCCCAACGCACTGTCAGTGAAGTCCGAATTCAGGTTTTGCCTAAAACATAGCAATGTTTTTGTTTTACGCTCTTTTATTATAAACAATGGTTTATCGAGCTCATTATCTATGTTAGTGCCACAGTTCTCACGCCAGACGGCCATACTAAATATATTTGTTACGCGGTCGAAATTTTATGCGTAGTACGAATTGAAGTGAGATTTTCAACTGTTACGACCCTGAACTTCATCTTCGTGAATTTAATGTTCGGTTATTTACATCTTTGTACATTGAAAATATTCTTTTGCATCAGGGTTTTTTTTTTAAGGGGGGAAAATCATCGAATGACTGCTCCCGCCTGGGTGAGGCGGAAGGGAGTGTCAGACTCTTACTGACTAAAAACCACCCCGTTCCTTCTCCTGCACGTCGAGCGGGAGCCCCGGTTACCCGTTAGGTTCTCCGCGACTCCGAATCGGCATCGGCCCTATTTGGCCCCATCTGTGGTGGTCTGACGGCTCTTTGAGGCGCGCGCGGATGTATGTCGCATGTATGCTATTTGCATAGCATGTAATACGAAGACGATTTCCGTGATTCAGAGTAGTACCATAAATACCATAACCAACGCCTACGGTTTCACGTAACAATGAAAATCGTCTTCGTGGGTGGTAACATACGCACAAACAGTAAACACATGTCTAACAACATCTAAGTATTTTTTCCCTTTTAAGTTTCCTTTTTTTCGACGTCAAAACCATCATTCCTGCTTATTACTGGTAGGTAGTATAAGTTACCAAAATTGGTATTTAATCAGACAACCGACAATCGTTACCTAGCGTTAGCCTTAAAGGCCTGTGCAGTGAACAACATTTGTTCCATTATAAAATATTAACATTCAGTTGTGGAGCTAACACGTTCTGCCGAAAGTCAAGAACTTTTCGTGACACAACTTTAACTCCAAATATGTCTAAACCTCTATCAAAAGTGTTGTATTCACCTGTATATCGACCACGCGTGCAGATCCTCTGAGTGCATCCCTCGGTGGTCGTGCATCAGCGGGTTGGATGGCACCGAGTACCTCCGCTCCCCACCGAGGCCCAGCGCCGACTGTGACATTGTATGTCTCTATTGTACCTGGATTTGAATAAAAGTTGTTAAAAAATTCTTCATTATATCCACAAATGAGATCATGTCATGTCTTGTAAACAGTTTAAGTAGATCGTCTTCTAGAAGTAGTTCACTTGATACCTGTGTCATTCCAATGTGATGTCGTTTTCTTTCTCCAGCTTACGCATGATCATTCAACGTGTTTGCATCTGAAAAAAAAGATATAACTCTCTTAGATTCTATAGAGACACATGAATGTGAATCAGTTCGACCAATTTGGTTCTTTCTATCTCTTAACTGAATTTGTATCCTACTTTCCATACACTTCTACTATAATACAACAGTACCTACATAACAGTATTGGCATGTTCAATTCACATGGCATTTCCCAACAGTGATCGACATTGGCCATATCCCGTACAAAGCTGTCTGGCTGCTGGCATGGCGAATCAAAGGCCGTACTACGTTGCATCACCAACAGCCAGTTGACTAGTCGACCGGACGCACGCGCGACAACCAATCTAACCATCTCATTGTCGAAAGTTGCGAAATGTATGAACATGTCAACGAGCATTTGTTTTTTAATTCAATTTTGTTATTAACGGCGTGATGTAATTTAAACGTGGACACGTTTGGTGTGGAAGGTCATTGGTAAATCATTGTGCATATAAATGTTTTGCACTTCCGCATTTGCGCATAACCATGAGCGTCAACGTTATTACTTAAATTGTTTATGCTCAAGTCTAGTGAAAATTTTCGGTTGGCATAGAGCAGAAAGATCGAAAGTCTCTAGAAGATAAGTTTTTTTTTAAGAAACAAACGTTGCCCCAATCTTGGATTTTCTTCTTTGTCGAGGGTGTGTTTACAAACATACAAGTTCACATACAAATGACACCCAGACCAGAAATAACAATTTGTGGATCACATAAAGAGTTGCTCCGTGCGGTAATCGCACCGGCTACACGTTGTACTGCAGCCGGTTGCCCAGCTTCTGCACCAATCGTGCAATCAAATGAATTACCCTAGGAAGTGCATCTCACGGGAACTAAAACCATAATACATATATCACATAAGCAGCCCATGCCTTGAACTAGACATCGATTATGTGGCAGTAAATAGAACCATTAACAAACCGTGGGACCCCAACCACGACGCATTGTTCCATAATTACGAAGATTCTGTTAATTGAACAGTGTTAACTAACATGATTTATTATTCTCGTCTACTATAGCTTTAATTGGAATGACAACTTCATAGACGTGTAAAAACTAGAAGCAGTCGGGAAGTAAGTTGAAGTCAAAAAAAAAAAAAAGTCAAAATCATTTATTTCAATTAGACCAGAAAGGCACTTTTGAACGTCAACAATAAAATTAGAAGTGAAGCTATTTGCTCATTCCAAAGTGTAGATTCCTATGGAGAAGAACGAGCAAGAAACTCCATAGGTTACTCTTTTTCAATCAGGTTCACAATACAATTGTCCAGTTACTTAACGTTTTGAATCAAAACATTGAATGTTTTTCTTTTTACCGTGTTGTCGAGCGTGAAAGCATCGGCCACGATATTACTATAATCTTCAAAGGCCAAGTTACGGAGATTAGCGTCATATTTGCAATTTAATTACCCCTGCTCCGCCTGAATGACTTCAATCACCATCAGCTTTATTACTTTTGTAACATAGATGTGTCTATAGAACCGGTACCGACCAGCATTGGCATAGTTCATTGTCTTTCAAGTGTCATTTCGGAAGTAACTGGACAGACCCTCACCTAGTTAGATAGCGTGATGCGTGATACTTGACGCTTTGCCTGTAAGAAGTTGCGTGTCTTTATGATAATTGCAGCCAGTTTTATTGATGAACATTGCATTGAGTAATGCCGCCTCTCACATATTGTATGGGATAAATAATGGCGGAGATAACGAAGGGGAACATACGCCATATTTTATTAATAGTTGTTCGGTAATTTTACATCAGTTCAGCGATTCGTCTTCATTTATTTTGTTAAGATTCCGGGTAATGTTTTGTGTGAGGTTTGTAAAAAACTGTTTAGTTTGATTTTAAAAAGGATTCGCTCTTTTATATTTAAGGTGGTAAGTGTTCAAAAGTAAGTTTATAAAGTTGGCATGTTGTCTATGTTTGTAAGAAGTTTTCGTTGTCTGCTGATAGAGGCGCTGTTTTTCTCTTTGCTACGTTGGTTTTGTAATAACGTTGCGTTTAAATAAATATCGTGATTTTTAAGAATTCGGACAAGTGCTTTCATTGAAATATTCCCTAATCCCAATAAAAAGAATGAATCTAGAAGTACTAATAAAATGTTTGGCAATGTATAGGAATTGTATAATTCCTGTACTGTTATATTTTGCTCTCAAACTTCGTGTCAGTGACTGCCTAACGAATACAATAAAAAGGCCATGCTAGCTTCATTATACACTCAGATTTAGTCATCTAATCCTTTATTAGATTTAATCTTCCTAAAGCAATCTACATAGCTTCCATCTTGAGTAATTCAAAGATTAAAGCCTTCATGCACATATCCTTTTTGTAGTTATTATGTAGCATGATCTTATCTGTGGCGTATGCTACTGACGCATGCGTAATAAAGGTGAATTGACCAAGTAAAATGTTAATAAGCCTACCTACTTTATACAAGTTTATTGATACCTTATTTAGGACTTTTATGGTCCTTGATTCTTGTATGCTTTTATATTAAAAATGCAGACGTTTTTGCATTCCGAAATAAGTATTATGATAGTTAATTGCAGTAGATATGACTATCTTCTCAATTTAAACCTATTGTGGTAAGTGGTAGGTGGTAGTCAACGGATGATTAACCCTGAAGGTTGGTGGTAGTGGGCGCAAATCAAGATATCCCTTTGTATGTTAATTACAAGTAATTTAGTATTACATACACGACCTTCCATCCTCTGTTCTACCGATGGAACCTTTGAAATGTCACGCGATAACTCACGAAGTAGGTATGTGTTCATTCAATTATTTTTTACAACTGCCCGTCACGTTGGTAGAACAGAACATTGGAGTCGTGTTGGAAATGTAAAAATAAAATAACAATTTATGGTTACCCTCAACGCGTTTTCCATTTATTCAATTGCTGCCAAAAGTATGTAAGAAATTTTGAATGCAAATCAAATGTTTTTTTTAAACTATAATCCTAATTAGTTCAATTTAATATATTTTGGTTTCATTCATGATATAAACCGATTAAACTGTCAAACACCAAGCGGTCACCGGTGACCGCGACCTATTGTTCTTTAATTGTGTCTATAAAACCGGTACTCGACGAGTTAATAAAATTAAAATAAAAAAAAATCTAATTTTAGTTCAAAAAATAAAATTTAGACCGTATAAGTAATTAAAAAAGGACAAAGAAATCAGAACCAACGTGTTAAACTCATACAAACTGTCTAGGTTTTTCTAAATACACCATAGTAGACAAAAATTAAAACATCTGATTAAATACAACTGTGTTTACACTAGGTAAATCTCATGTAACCGATTTCTTAAATTATTTTGTCGTGTCTATAAGATGGAAGCTAAAAATAATAATAAAGCATTGTTTTCAAATAAAATAAGTCAAGGTTGTGTGAAATTAACATTCTGTGCGAAGAAGTCGTTAACTTAATAAGTAGCAGTATCAGTATGCGCAGGCGCCACCCACATTACATAACTTGCGTCCTCCAAATTCCTAAAGATTTTAGTTAACACTTACAACATTTGCGTGACCAATTATTACTTGGTTTGTCGTTTTATTGCGAAATGTAACAATTTAAATATACTGCAAAAAGACTTTGAAACATTTGTGGTCTCCTGAGTCAGCGCTATAAGTGCAGAGTAATAAATCGCATTAGACCTTTGCATTGTTAGGACTTGATTGTATAAAGAGTGGCGCCTGCGTCTGAGTGCCTAGGTACTATGAGATATTGCCAGGATACAATGCGTAGGCAGACGCCACAAAGTTATTTCTCCAGCAAATCATCTTCTATAGCATTACAACGCAAATTCCATTCGCCATGTAGGTAAGATGGATTAACATAATAAGATCGACATTATGGAAATCGTTAAATTCCATATTGTAAGCATAGTTCTTGTTATTTTATTGTCTGCGGGATAATTGTACACTGTAGACATTGAGAAATAGCTGACTGACGCCATGATAATCTACATCTGACATACATTGTCAGGCAAATAATCCGGTGCGCACAAAACGTCAGTGCGTGACTCTTGCGCACGCATTCTCTATTACGCCTTCAATGTTGTACCTACGCAAATTTCTCTGTTCTCAAGTAAATGGGCAATGCGTGTATGAAGGCTATAGAGACTTGGAACAGGGGCTATTTTTACCCGGGATGGCATGCGAGCTGGGCGCACCGGGTCGCTGACCCGTCGCGCGCCATACTCTATTGCACGTAGCCATTCTTTGTCGCAGAAATTGCACAAACAAAGGATAGAAAATTGAAACAAATTGATTTCTTGAGCTTTGATTATGCCTGAAATTGAAGAGATTCCGCCTGCAGGCCTTCTCGAGTTTAGACTTGCATTGAGACAAGATATAACTGCGACCGACATCGTAATTGATAAGGTTCATTTTCAAGTATTGTTGGGTTGTTTAGTCAATGGTTTTCAATGCAAAAATACAAGCAATTATCACTACATAGTATAAAACAAAATCGCTATCCGCCGTCTGTCTGTCCCTATGTATTAATAGTTATGGTGATTTTAAAACGGTACTGGACAATTGGACATTCTAAGTAATAAACGTAAATACGTCTGGCTTAATCGAGAGATGTCAAAACGACCCTAGACTTAGACTTAAACCTGGTCATGTCATTAAAATACCATTGTTAATGGTGATGGAGGCAGTCTCGTGGCTAGAAGATTGATTGCCTGTCTCTGTCTGTCCAGTCACCGTTTCGAGTCGCGCAAGACACAAATCTAGATATTAAACGAAAAGTCTAGAATTATGTGTTGTGTTTATTCGTGTGTAGTGAATAAT